ATTGTTAATGCAATCAGAAGTATTGTTTATGAAATTAAAAAAAAAATAGAAAGATTGTATCAAACATTCCATAGTAATTTACTAGAGTGTTCGTGGTTTAAATATCATAATGACATGTACATGATGTATGTGACACCTTATCTGACTTTACTAATTCCATACTTGAACGTGATAATATTAGTCTTATCGCATACATGTAAACAAGAGGATTTATTTAAAATCAATTGGTATGCATCTATTTATATTGGGTAAGTTTTCTGTGTTATTTGCAAACAATCATCATAACATATAAAACTGACAGGATTTATATTATTCTCATTGAAGCAAAAAATAGATCGGAAAGTTTTATCGCTGCAAAGTATTGTAAACATACATGATAAATGACAAAAACATCCCATAACAGTATACTACGATTGCTCGTGGTTTTGAATATTCTATTGACATATATAACCCCTTAGAAAACATTACCGTCCACTTTGATTTTATAATGTGACGCTAAAATATCCAAATCTAGAACAGAACAATTATTCTTTAAACATATTAATGTTTAAAGTAACCTTGGGTAAAAAACAGCAGTATAATGAGGGAATTGTTAAATGTTTAAAGCAAACAAAATCATCAATGTAACAATAAAGTCTTATCAAATTCAAATTGATCAATAAAACGGAATTGAGACGAATCTTCAATGAGTTTGGTAATAAACAATGATTCTTCACATTCCTTTAATTTTATAAATCAAATGATATGAGTTATCGCCACTAATACAGCACAAAACTATTATATATATAAAATAACAGAATATCGGACTAATAGTACAGTACGAAATTCCTCATATATATATATATAAAAGTTATAAATAGCAGTCCTTATATTATTATAAAGTCACACAAACTATTTATTTAAATGAAAATGCACACAAAGGAAGTGCATTTATACTTCAAATGTGTTTATTTCATTAACATTTCAGGACTGAGTATTTGACACAATTGTTATATTCAAAATTTTGGAGGACTCCTATACTGCCTTTAGATTATTGGAGAATAATTAACCGCACTCAATAATTAGAACTGTTTAATCAGCTCTGATATTTGTTTAAATTAGTTTCGGATTTTCATTAAAGAGACATTTACAAATGTATTTTCGAAGTGAGTTTTTGTTGCAGTCAAACTGGTACAGTTCATATTGTTAATGCAATCAGAAGTTTTGTTTATGAAATTCAAAAAAAACAAATAGAAATCTTTCAAAATAGAAAGATTGTATCAAACATTCCATAGTAATCTACTAGAGTGTTCGTGGTTTTAATATCATAATGACATGTACATGATGTTTGTGACACCTTATCTGACTTTACTAGTTCCATACTTGATAATATGAGTCTTATCGAATACATGTAAACAAGAGGATTTATTTAAAACCAATTGGCATGCATCTATTTATATTGGGTAAGTTTTCTGTGTTATTTGCAAACAATCATCTAAACATATAAAACTGACAGAATTTATATTATTCTCCTTAAAGCAACATTTTGTTTTCAAATAGATCAGAAAGTTGTATCGCTGCAAAGTATTGTCTACATACATGATCAATGACAAAAACATCCCATAACAGTATACTACGATTGTTCCTGGTTTTGAATATTCTATTGACCAATATGACCCCTTATCTGACTTCATGACTATCATACTTGAACAAAACAATACTAGTTTAATTGCATACATGTAAACCTGAGGACTATTTAAAAATTATCGACATGAATCTATTCATATTGGGTAATTTTTTTTTGTTATTTGCAAACAAACATTATTAACATATAAAAATAACAGGACTCCTATTATCTTCACTGTAGCTTCATTTATCTTTGACCTTAATCAGAATTTTTAATCAAAGTATTGTATACAATGATGATAAATAGCACAAAATGAATAGAACCACAGTTCAAATCCATACATGTATACTCAATACGATTCGTGGATCTAATGGTATATTTTTGTTTTCAGTTTTGTTCATACAATTTGTTTTCAGAAAATGACTTGTAATTTATTGTTCAGTTTATGAGCTGTTCAGTTCATAATTGATTTACTGGTGACTTGGGAACACACTGAATTAGGTTGAACCGTCATGTTTCGTTGCATCTAGGAATCTCATAATTTGTTTTGCTCATTTCATGATATATTTTTTTTAAACAGTATAATCTTAAATTTGCTTTCTCCGATTCTTAAATTATTGTTCAACTTTGCAGGTTTCGACTTCTTTTTACGTCTTGTCATATCAGGTTAACTTGTTTTGTCTACGGTAACACACTTTAGGTATGCATTCATTTAACTGTTTTGATTCGAGTGTCACTAATGAGTCTTTTGTGGACCAAATGCCCGTCTTGCATACCAAATTATAAGCCTGGTTTTCTATAAAATGTTTTTACAATCACTGAGTGATGCCACTAATTCATGTAGACATCAATTATCATTGATATTGGCATATGTATAAATTAGAACTGTTTTCTAAACTTTGAGTGTTGTTCGAAAGGCTAGGGACTTTCTGTCCCGGTATTACTTAACTTTGTTGTATTTTTTCGAAGTTTTTTAACCTCAGTGCTTTTCAACTACGTACTGTTTTTCTCATTTTAACTTTTTTTATTGGAGCGTCACTGGTGAGTTTTTTAAGACAAAACGCGCTTTTGGCGTAAACAATTTTAAGCGTAGTATCTTTAAAGAGTTTTTCCCGAATGCAATTCACAGCGAAGTGATTCCTTTAAGGTATAAAAATCGTTTAAGCTTTTCAAAACTAATTAACTATGTTAACGGGTTTATTCAAGATTCTGACTGCTCAATACATTCTCGTATCGTAACCCTTTTCGAAAACAATGACCCATATAACAGCTCACATTATTCGGCACATATATCCTACTGCATGTTCATGTTGTGTCATTTCAGGCTTCAAAGCATAATTGCTTGAAGACGTGCACATCAGTTATATCCATTCATTTTATTCGACGCTTTGACATAACCTGCTATGAAGTTAGAACATCATAGTCTAAACTCAATATTTTCAATGTGTGTTATACAAACTTAATGTGACACCTGTATATTTTAAAAACATTGATGTTGCTCTGCATTTGTCTTTGGTTATTTTTGTCATTGGGTTGCTGTCACATTGATATATCAGCCACGCGTCATTAAATCAATGCTAGATACATAGGAAATTAAATATTATACTTGTATACTTGTTTAATAACAGATGTAAAGGAGAGACAATATGCCGTATCAATTCATGAACAAAAAAAACCGATACACTATAACGAAAACAAAATGCAAAGAAAGTGCTTTGTATTATTGTCATTCATCTCAAAGTCATAATTAAGTCTTTGGTAACATGTTCTGAAGCCAGGACTATTTACAGAGACACATTTGAAGATGAATCAATGGGATAATATTATCATTTACTAATTACAAAAGAAGAGGGACAATAAGTATTAACAATAAAACAACGTGTCGTATAATTTTCAGTACATGTGATTATAACCCTAGTCGAGGACATGGAAGGTTTGAATTTAGTATTATAAACTAGGAACTTTTTTATTTATTTGTGTGACGTTGATATTGATATTAGAAGGTTAGATGTCATAAAATCGTGTATGTGCCAAACACATTACTGGTGTTTGTCACTAGTTGCCTAATTTTACGATATAAATGAAAAGTTTGAGTGCCTCCGTTTCCGAAAGCAAACTAGTGGTCCACTACTACTATATTTTTTATGGTGAATATGTCATTTGGTGGTGGTATCTTGAACGAATGTCTGGAATCTTTTATTAGAATCGCAACAATTCGTTAATCAGAGCATAGAACTTATACGTTGTATAATTTTCTATAAATGTAAAAAAGGAAGAAGAAAAGTAAAATGAAGTAAGTACCAACAATCTACGAAATACTGTGTTGTTCAAGAGTTTTCATAAAAGCATGCTTTCTCAGTTAATTGTAAACACGTAATGGACTGTCATGCATTTAAATGGATTGGTAAATGACCAATGGTAAACCAAAATTGGTTAATTGTAAAGAAATAATGATATTGGCGGGAACATTATAGTGCCAAATGATGCATATCCATATAAGGCATTGAACCGACCTCTGAAAGGGGCGGATAGTATTGGTGGGAAAATAATAAAACCAAATTATGCATATCCATGTAAAGGATTGTACCCGATCTGATAGAAGCAGGATGGTATTTTATGAATTAAATAAAAGACACCTGTCATAATAAGGTGACAATTGTGTCTTACATATAATGAAGTGTATTTCATTGCATGGTCTGATTGAGATTAAAGATTCTACCACTGCATCGAGTGTGATACGATATTTATCCACTCGATACAGTTAAATTTTCAAATTTAAAACGCGAGGCACGCCAAGCGTTTAAAAATTTTAAATTTAACTGCCGAGAGTTGATAAATATTGTATTGCACGAAATGTGGTGGTGGAATCTGTTTCTCTAATGATGATTAGCCGATATGCAGGCAATTTTATTCCTTCTTTTCAACTGATCTGCAAAAAGATGTGTTCTTTTTATGTGACGTCATCAGGCATGGTCGCCTTTTTTCATGACGTCACAATAGGATCTTCAGAGGAAAGCAAGATATTTTTACGTCATAATCGAATTTTGACCAATGAAGAACTGAGATCAAACGAGCCATATGTTGATTAAATAAAAATAATCAACAGGTCAAGAAAAGGATAAGAATACGACTCCTTGTACTAAACTAATAACCTTAAGAGTAATTATTTCCAAAACATATTTAAGTGTCATTTAAATCTTTACAATAGTTGGTACTGGAGTTTGAACATCCATCTAAAGTGTTTCATAATCATCTCATTACACCTGCATTGTTTCAACTATTAACTTCATAACATATTACAGGTATATGCTAGTAAAGTGTTAAACCGAATTTCAATGGTAATATTTTCTTTACAAAAAATTTAAAATCTATAAAATATAAATAATCAAAATCTTCGAATATTTTTATAGGTGGCATATTACTCCTCACATGTGTGGAAGCTGCAAATAAACGTAAGTATGTAGTTAGAGCAAGTAATATAAAACAATGTGGTGTAGTTGTGAAACAAACTTTACCTTTCAACATATGCAATATAAACATAATACAGTTTAATGAAATGCGATTGTGTACCAGTATACAAATTATTGATTTTGTGTGTATGTTACAATTATACACTGCATTAATTAACCGTTCTGATGCTCATTAATTGAATAGAAGAAAACGTACAAAACTGAATGTTTCCTTGAATATGGTCAGGTAACGTGTATTATCATTTGGTCTAACAAGATAAGGAAGATATGTCAACAAATAAGAAGAATATGATATCTGTTTTTCTTATCGTAGGAAAAAGATACAAAAATCAAATACACTCTTTAGAAGTTTAATCATGCACTTTTTTGGTTTATGCATGCTGTACTTTCAGCAATATGTCGCTCGCATTCAACTTGTACTAAACATGGCAAATTTGCATCAATACTGTTTGGAGATATTGGATTCTGTACCTGTAATGGGGGTTATACTGGAGACTGTTGCGAAAAAAGTATGTATTTACAGCTATTTGACGTGTGATATGTGCGAGAAGATAAACTATGTGTGCTTGCTCAGAGAACTATGACTTTTGTTTTTATTAGATCTTGAAATGATAAATTTAAACAAATGTTCAGTCATCATTTTGTAAAGTGATCCATGGTTTTATTGCATAATATTTATCATAAGTATTGAACAAAATAAAATTAAGTCGATGGTCGAAAATGTACGCAAGGACTATTGTTGTCTGTCCGTACACATGTAATTACATCGATACTATACATTTTGTTGTCGAAAATTGTTTTATTTAAAACATTTCAAACGCATTTGAATTCCCTTTTATGCAAAATGTCAAGCATTTTCATCATATGTGTACGAACTGGGTAATGGTACAAAATTTATTATTTAGCATTACGTAGGTCACACATACTACATTTTACAAAAAAATAGTGGTTCTGATCTCAAATTGATATTAAGATATTGACTACAGAGCTCAATGCAAGTTAATGACACTCCCTATGTATGGTTCTTGGACGAATTGTTTTGCTATATAACGCTACTGCTAACAAACTTTGCCCGAATATGTCCAACAATCTCATAATAGTATATAATGATATTACTGTTTATATACAAAAATAGATATTGACGAATGCCATAGTAATCCTTGTCAGCATGGTGGTACCTGTCATGATAAAGCTAATGGATACACTTGCTCATGTAGAAAGGGATATACTGGAACAGTATGTCAAACAAGTAAACACATACTACACGTACTACATTACAGATATATGATGAAGAAATGTTCTGTTATTATACTCATATGGTGGAGTATAATACAATATGTTGCTGCTTTTTGATAAAGTGATGTAAATTGGACCCACGTAAATCATAATTTTATGAATAAACATATAACTTTTTGTAACCGTAAGACAGTGATCATTATGCAGTTTTTTTTAGAATGATTGTGTAGGTGACGAAGTATATATGTAAGTGTATGAACTTACAAACATGATAATTCTACATTTATTGTCCCTGCATTCAAAATATTTTAAGATTTAAAAAAAATGTTTGAAATTGGCAAGACAGAAAAGGTAAATAAAATTTACCAGTACAATAATTCGCAATTTTAGAATCTAATGAATCCTGGGTAATATTTCAAAAGCGTACACCATAAAGTCGTTTATGGTATACAGCTCCCTAAACAATTAGAACAAACCAAAAAACGTGATGTAATTTACATTTTGGGGTACGAACAATGACATTACCCACTATAACTTAGATTCTTAAACGGCGAATTGACAAATATCGGCGTTATTTAATGCTAGATATGACTTTTCCTATTGTCGTGATTATCTAAGTTGTGAAGACAAAGTTGGTATTATTTAAATAAACTACATACTACCTCCCCTCAGCAAAAAAAGGCCACCAAAGTACACATATTTCTCTAGTCTTGCATTTTTCAAATCATGCTAGAAAACCAATTGAAAGGTCGAAAGAAAAGGTACAAATAGTACTTTCATGCATTGTCTTTTTTAAAGCAAACTTAGGTAATTACTGAAGGCACTATTTATACTACTGTAATGGTTATATTTTTTTTTCAACCATAAAAAGAAGGAAAAATCTAAATTACGGAAAGCTGAAAATTGTATTTAAACTTATTTAGAAAAAACATGGCTTTATTACTTAGGCAATATCGTAACGATAATGTCTTGGTCGACTTAATTTTCATAGTTAATGCAATTTATGTAAATTTTTAGACATAAACGAATGTGCAAGTCGACCATGTCTAAACCACGGGCATTGCCATGATGGGATAAATGCATACACATGTAACTGTCAGGCTGGATTTGCTGGACATCGTTGCGAGACAAGTGAGTTGATAACTATTCATTTCTAAAATGTACAGACTAACAAATATTTAATTAGAATATATCAGGTATAATAAATGGTAATATTACACACTGCCCTATAAAACCACACAGAATGACAATGCCTAATGCCAATTTAGTAAAAATTATCAATTTAACTCAGGGAACGATACCAATTATGTGAAAAACTCGTCATATATACCAGGCGTATTCATTGTTACGCCAGACGCACGTTTTGTATACCAAAGACTCACCAGTGACGCTCGAATAAAACAAGTTAAAAAAGTCTTTGTCAAATACAGTTTTATGTACGGTAATATATTTCTGTGCTGGAAAATTCAATTATTTCGAAAAACTTCAATAATTATAAAACACTTAATAGATAATCATGACCGATAACTGAACTCGAACAGAACAAAATCGAATCAAAAACATGAATATACTTATATTTTCCTTTCATTGAATGATACGGCTTACAAGTAATATCTAATAAGCCATTCAAATATGTAATCACATGATAGCACACCCACATTTTTTGCTGGGAGGCTTTTGTCAAAGGGGGTTCTCGGTTGTGCTGCTGTTGGCCCGTGGGCATTTGTCATGGTCGGATCCAAGCAATTTAACTCCCGTAAATCTTTCCAACGTGAACTCACTTTTGTTTACCTTGGTAGTGATTTTTCCCATTAACCTTTTATTTCTTGAAGATATAAACGAGTGTGCCACACACCCGTGCCTGCACGGTGGTACGTGTCATGACGGTGTAAATAAGTACACCTGTACCTGTCCACTAGGGTATGGTGGAACAAGATGTCAAACAAGTAAGTTATTCATTTACTATTCTCGTGTCACCTTAGTCTCCCATATTACATAGTTGCATACTATTCCTGTCATGTCCAGTTATGAAATAAATTATGAAATACGAAAAAAATATTCGAAAGGCCAAGCATAAACACATGAAAGATGGAAGTACAAATTTTGGTTTGCTCTTTATTCTTATAAAGTGTGTGATTGTGCAATGCTTAATGTCCAGTTGCAAATATTCTATGTACATCAGAACGAGAACAAATAAACAATAAATACATTAGGTAGGTCTTGTAATATAAACCGTCCGTGATGTAGATGGGGAAGATTTTGATTGCCACTGGAAAATGTATGTATATCAGATAGGGAGAGAGACTTGTGTCCTTGCAACAGGCAGTCTACGAAACCCTCAGAGTTATTACAAGGGTTATTTACATGTAGAGAGCGTGATACCATCTTTACGTTCTTATAAAGAGATCATTTAAATATTAACAAAAATGAAGTTTGAATCAAGAGCAGGGTTGTCATATGACAAAACCAATCTATTTATAGACAACGAGGGGAGAGGACATACATATCAAGTTTTGTCAAGACCTAGCATTTTAAAAAACACTAAATATTGTATACCAATAGTTTTTTTTAATTTTTTTTTATATCTTTTATTTATTTTTCAGTAGTAAGGATTAAACAATACCCCTACAATCACCACCTGACTATGGTTTTTGGGTTAGTCATGAAAAATATGCTCATTTTGTTTTTTAAATTCATATTCATAATACAAAAATATAGTTATTGGAAGAAAAAAAAGCTACTCAAATTTACACTTTCTCTCACTACTAATACACAGTCTCTGCAATCTTACCATTAGTATGCATGCATGTCTATATATAAAGTAAAATTCAAATATCAACTGCTCACTACAGTATAATTTAAAGTATAAATGATAATAAATCACGAAAATATTGTATGTAGTGGGGACCAGAATCTTTCATAAGCATTTGCTCTTTTATTTTTGTTTGCAATATAAAACTCATTAGATTGGTATTGTTTTATTCTTAAAGTCCTATTGCACTAAGAGCTATATTTCTTAACTTACATGTGAAGATGTAGTTTTTAGCTATAATAATTAACAAATTCATAAACAAACTCTTAGTAATAAATCCCAACAATTTTTTTTCTTACTGACGCTGAATTGCTCATCAAATGATTTGATTTTCTGTAACTAGAGGCTCTAAAGAGCCTGTGTCGCTCACCTTGGTCTATGTGCATATTCAACAAAGAACACTCTCCAACATTATGGACGATAATAGAATTCATGACAAAAATCTCTGTTTTGTAGATCTTGTATAGCTGATCATTTAGTCTGTTTAGTTTCTTTCTATCTTCTGTAGTTTTTGCTAAACACACAAAAGAGGGCAAAAAAAAATCCTCATTTAAGGGCAATCACTCCTATTAAGAGTGACAGTCTACTAACTATATCAGCAAAATTTGACTTGTAAGTAGATCTTGACCTGCTGATCATTTTTTGTGATTTAAAGTGTCTAGTTATCTATTAAAATTTTAATCATATGAGGCAAAATGCAAAAAAAAAAAATAGTGAAAATCGTCATTAATGGGCAATAACTCAAATAAGGAGTCGTCGGACAATTTCCTCAAAATTGTCTTAATTATAGTTCTTGCTGGTCATTTTTGCTTATTTATATCTATCTATTATAATTTTTTAAGATTGTAAAAATCGTCATCAACTGGCAATAACTCTAATAAGGAGTCGACTGATGATTTCGACCATGCAGACTTTTTTGTAGAACATGTCTTTTTGATCATTTTTGCATTTAAAGTTTCTCTTTATCTATTATTATTTTCAAAATAATAGGCAAAAATGTACAAAAAGGTAAAATTTGTCATTCAAGGGCAATAACTCATATAAGAAGTCGTCTGACAGTTTTAACGTATATTGACAAATGGTAGAGCTCAACATTCTGAACACTTCTGCCCTTGTCAGATTTTCTCTATTTATAACGGTTTTAAAAATAGTAGACAAAACTGGCATTTTACCCCTATGTTCTATGTTTAGCCATGGCGGCCATGTTGGTTGGCAGGTGGGATCATCGGGCAAATGTATCAAACTAGATAACCCAATAATGATTGTGGCCAAGCTTAGTTATATTTGGCCTAGTAGTTTCAGAGGAGAAGATTTTTGTAAAAGTAAACGGACGACGAACGCCAAGTGATGAGAAAAGCTAACTTGGCCCATTGGCCCAGGTGAGCTAAAAATGACAACCAAAAATTGGAGGTAACATTTCAATCATAAAATAAATGTTCTATTGTTTCCTCTCCCCTATTACAGAAGGTACATAGACTTGTTTCCTTTTGCTTAAGTTTATATAAAAATGTATTTGTAGTTATAATTCTATGTTATACTTTATATTGAAAATTCTTTAAATATGTATCCATACAAACATTTTTTCAGAAGAGAAAAATACAAAGACCATTCTAAGATTTCAGAATTTGTAACTGCCTCCCAAAAAAATCTCATTTGGGAATATGCATATTTTATCTACAACCACTACTGGAACAATGCCCCGTAGATTGGCCGTGAAAATGTCCGTAAAAATGCCGGTGATTTTCACAGTGTTTTTCACGGTTTATTTACGGTGGGCCGTGAAACTTATTCGTGACAATGCCGTGGAATGACTGTCGTGAAAAGGCTGTGAAAAGTTTGTGAAAAGGCCGTGAAGAGGTGCCACCTGAAAACTTGGGTGAAAATACCGTAGAAACCCTGTGAAAAAAAATGTACACCGTGAAAAAGTCGTGATAATGCATTATGTGCCCATTGTAAAAAGACCGTGAAATGTAGAAATAGTACAGTATATGCCTTTATTTGTCGTGAAAAGGCCGTGAAAAGGTGCCAACTGAAAACTTGGGTAAAGAGACCGTAGAAACCCTGTGAAAAACAAAAATGTACACCGTGAAAAAGTCGTGATAAATAATGTGCCCATTGTGAAAAGACCGTGAAATGTACATGTACCACTGTGATAAACAGCCATTCACTGATTGTGAAAACTCCTGTAAAATGTTAAATGTATTTTTCAGGCCATAATTTAACAAAAAAATTAAATGCTGTTTCAATCAAGTGAAGTGAAATGCCTGAAAACCTAGTGTAAACATCTACAGATAACTTATTTAAGTACAATGCAAGTGAGACTATGAAAAAAACATATTAAAATGCTGTATTTTTTTTAGTAATAATTGTGACAAAGAATAAAAATAATAATTTTTATAGAACTGTAGTAATTATGTAAAGAAAACATAAAAGCACACAAATGTCAATGTGATTAAGTAGCTAAAGTCAGCTGTAACATGTATTGTAGAAATTTTGTACATCTCTTGGGTCTGATTTTACCACTTCAGCAATATTTGTCTTATGTTATCCTTCACTTCACTGCCCTTTTGAATAACTATTCCAGAAAGAGATTTATAGAAGTTCCTGTTAATTCCCAGGAAATACTTTTAACTGATGAAAAGCTTTTCTCTCCAACTAGATTCCTGAACTATTTTATATAAAGACTGCTATATCATTTTGCTCTTCATTCCTAGAATAAATAAAGAAACATTACATATATTATACATGTATATAAAAAAAACTATTTATATATTCAAATTATTTTTGGCATTTATGTACGTACATGTACTTAAAACAGCTACAATATTATTCCATGCAATACAGGACTTCGCGGTTAATGACTATTTAATAGGGTGCAGATTTTCATACTGGAGGTGAAAATGGTATGAAAAATACTAAAAAAAAACATTGAAACAGAACAGCCACTTGGAAACATGCATAGGTTTTCCCATATTTTCATACCATTTTCCAGAAAATCGGCCCCCTATCCAATATGGCATCATTAGTTAACGAAGTTCTGTATTGTCAACTTATATTTTTTTTTTTTTTTAAAGACTAAAGACACTTTTAAAACAGACTATAAAATTTAAATGTTTCTTTGAAGTAATAATATGTATGGCTAAAGCCAAACTTGTCTAGACTAAGTGGCCGTTATGAGTCACAGCTATTTATTTTACAGGGGGCCAGGGACGTAGCAACTTTTACTGCAGGCACATTCGCCATACCAATTATTTTTAAACACCTCATTGCCATACCAATTATTCTTATGATACAGCACAAACCCTTCTAGAAAGGACATTTGCGTACAAATATTAAATACTTTCCCTGCTACGCCTCTGATTAATCCCTTTTGAACTCTGTGTCCCGACGGCCAAGTCAGAAAATACTTAAATAGCTCCCGACACATTCAAAGGGGGTTACGCCTCTGATTATCAGAGCGAACTCCATTTCAGAGATACTTATTGCTATTATAATCATTTCCAATTATCTATGTCTATGTCTACGTAGTGTACTGTACATAAATGTCATTTTTTTATGTTGCCAGTGTGGGGAAAAGGACCCCCCCCCCTTTCCCCCAAATACATAAACAAAACAAAACCGTTATCGTATTTAAAGTATCCTGTAAGTCTTAGAAAACATTAACCGAAATGATTAAAGGAATCAAGTGCAACAGACTCAAATATAAGTGAATATATCACATGCATGTTTGCGCTGTTTCTGCAAATTCAGTGAAAATCAGTTCAATGGAAATGCTCACAAACGTCATCAATATTTTGGTGATATGTTGCATAAAAGAATAAAATATTAATAACTTAACTTACCTCAAACTTGCTGTCACTCGTCTTGCATCTATAAAGTAAATATTAATCGACCTTCGGCGTCTTTCAAATTTCCAAATTGCGGAAATGTTACTATTACTCTAAAAGAAACACGAATCCGGATACAGTCTGTTATTACGAGAAGTTCTCGTTTTTAAATGTTTCGGTTCCAATTAAAATTACTGTTTACATTGTTTATAATAATGTACAGACGAGAAGCACAATACTTTTCTTGCACAAAGTCATTAATTATAACAATGATTCGAATGGTTCCATTTAAAAGTCAGTCCTGTACAGTAGTATTGCATATAATTATATTTAACCAGACATATATTTATAATGAAAAGTTTATAGGATATTTAGAAAAATGTGAGTGGAAATAATTAGACCATATTACAATAATCACATGGGATGATAAAAATCTGAATTAGGATAAGAAAAAATTGACATGAAAAAATATCACGGCCTTTTCACTGGTTTCAACAACCAGTGAAAAGGCCGTGATATTGTTTATTAAGCATGAAAGGACAAATTATCACGGCCTTTTCACGGGATATTGAAATTTTACGGCCTTTTTCTAACATCAAATATTTTTCACGGCCTTCAGAAATATTTTTTTTACAAAAGTCACGGGGTATTATCACGGGTTTTTCACGGCCCTGTGATATTTCACAGACATTTCACGGCCTTTTCATGGGCTGTTGTTACAGTAGTGAAGATCTCTGTATACAAATTGCAACTTCTAACTTTCCAAGATCTTTTTAAAAAATGCATCAAAAGGAACAACATTTTCTAAGTTCAAATCACAATAATCTTTGATGTATATTTTGATATATTTTGGAATGTTAGATATATAATAAAAAAAAGGAAAAAATCAATATTAAGTTTTTGTCTTACTTGTTGAAATATTAACAATGTTTTGACTATCTACAATGTCCTTTATAAATTGTGTACCATATAACTTCCATTTCATATAAACAGTGTAATCAGATACTGGTATAAAGTTTGAAATATCCAATGATAAAATTTCTGTAACACATAACTTTGTATAAGGCTTTGCCATGTGTAGACAAACAATTTGTCTTTCCAAAATGGATTTTTTAAGCAATTAGAAATTTCTGTAATCTTATCCTTTTGTAATGTAAAGACTCTGTAACCACCTAACTGTTTTAGTTCTGTAAGTAATAAATTCTGGTAATTACCGTCTGAATTTGATAAAAATCTCTTTACCGATAATTTAAGATATATACAGAAAGACTGCAAATGCACCATATATAATCCTCCCTGTGAAAAAGCTGCAATAAGAGTACTGTGCATCACTCTATCAGTCTTACAATTCCAAATGAAATTAAAAAAATATACCATTCAGTTCGTTTAATTGTGAGTGAGGTAAATTCGGCAGAGCAGTCAACAAATGAATCAGTCTTGGCAATGCCAGAGTCTTTATTTGATTGTACCTAGTAAAGCTAATTTTCTATGTTGCCAGCTTTTAAGTATAGCTTTTTTATTTCTTACATTCATTAGACAACAAGGCTTGTTGTTGACAAACTGAAGCTTGATAACATATCCGCACCAATTGTATCGTCGTTGATAACTACTCCTTATACATTGTGACGCCGAAACGAGAATTACGAAGCGACTGATTAAGGAGATAAAGGCAAAAGGAAGCATCAAACCTTTTCTGTGGTATTGCGTTTAGATGTAACGTTCTAGGACGGACTGTGTAAATGTAAACATGTAACATGTAAAACGAAACCCCTGCACATTCTTTATATTTGCAGAAGATTGAAATTTTCAAACAAATTATCAGACAACTTTAACTACTACTAAATTTTGACAATCTGGCATCACTGATATAGATTTTACATTAAGAATAAGGGACTATTTTCTGATTGGCAACGTAACAAAAACCAAATAAAAATATGTTAATAACAACTACAGGTCTCTATAAGCATTAAAATAGGTCTAGTCTATCTTGTTTAAATTTCGTAAAAGGCTACACTTTTACAAAATGTGAATTAATTCAAACGATAAAATGGATGGATTTTAACATTAAACACAAGTAACGACCATCACCGAGCTATCTACTCCAGTCTTGGGACAGATTAAACAATTTCATGATCCGTAATGTGACACACCAAAATTAACGAAATAGTTACATATGTTGTAGATATAAACGAGTGTACTAGCAATCCGTGCTTACATGGTGGTACCTGTCATGATGGTGTGAATAAATACACATGCACCTGTCCACTCGGGTATGCTGGTACACGTTGCGAGTCAGGTATGTCCTTGCTAAACACGAAGGTTCTTCGTGTATCATATATTTAACTATTACATATACACAGCAGTTGCACTATCTCCGTCATTCAGTTATGACAATTATATTAAATTTGATCCGTCATTATCATTTCAGTCTCTTAGTGAATGTGTATTTATATTTTCTATATTCATCATAAAATTGAGAATGGAAATGGGGAATGTGTCAAAGAGACAACAACCCGACGAAAGGGCATAAAACAGCCGAAGGCCACCAATGGGTCTTCAACACAGCGAGAAAATCCCGCACCCAGAGGCGGGCTTCAGCAGGCCCCTACCTAAACAAAATGTGTACTAGTTCAGTGAAAATGGCCGTCACACTAAACTCCAAAACATATAAATGAACTAAAATTAAAAGAACATACAAGACTAACGAAGACCAGAGGCTCCTGACTTGGGATAGGCGCAAAAATGCGGATCATGTCTTCATTGCTTCTCAAATAAATAATGACAACAATACCATGTTTTATGTTAAGATCTGAGTAGTAAGACAGATCCTATATATACAGTAATTTGATGAAAGAAAACACTTGCAGGAAACCAAAAATTTTCAACGCGGTGATTATTGTTTCAACTGATTTTTGTTTTTATCTATATTTCATTTTAGACAGAATTCGAACAGAATGATTTAGTTATAAAACAAGTTTATATATTTTCTATACTATTTCGTTTGTAATGAAAGAATGTAAAACAGAATCATGCCTAAGTAAAAAGATATTCAAACGAAATATTCTATACTTAATAGAGTCAATGTACATGGAGTTAATGCAACTATCATTCTATTTCAGTAAATTCAGGCTTTCTTTCTAATGTTTAAGATGTATTACAGAATAAGCAGCAATACATATAATGTGAAAAAATGTAAACAATGAAATATGAGGAATCTGAGAATAATAAATTTCACCAAATATATACATTAGAATACAACATACAGCCACAAATAAAGTTAGTCATAATAATTGAAAGGGTCGTATATTTGTTTCATTTATATTTGTATTTCTAGTGATACCAGTCAGTTACACTACCGTTACAATCAATGTTAAAGAACATCAGTTTGACAAACGGAAAGGTTGAGAAATTGGAAATGAATTTGTTGTATCTACTTTATAGAATACACAAGTGACAAAAAAAGAAAATTACAAATTTGAATAGAACCAAATATGGTGACATATACTGCAAAACTGTTCAGTACCTTAAACTATGTTTTGTAGACATAAATGACTGTGCCAAAACACCCTGTCTGCATGGCGGCACATGTCATGACGGTTTAAATAAGTACACCTGCACATGTCGACGAGGTTATGCTGGAACAAGATGTGAAACAAGTATGTTATTATTTATTATATACTACAATTAAAGCTTTCAGGAGAAAAATAGATATCAAATATGTTTTATCTACTTTCAACTTTTCAACGTTTGTAACAAGTTCTTAATGGATTTGGTCATTCTGGTTTGACACTCTTGAAAAAAAGAAAACATATTTCGTTACATTTGTATTGACTTTTAAATAATAGACTGACTCCCCATAAGTATACATATGGAAGGAAAACAATTTGATAAATCCGAATTAAAAAAAAAAACACGACAGAATGTAAAAACTTCAAACAATTGAAATTTCTAAATTTTATTTATTATAAACATATTTTAGACCATGATATGAAACGACAAACATGGGAATCGCAAGGAGTGTCAGTGACAGTTGGTTTGCCTTTATTCTTACAGATATAAATGATTGTGCTCGTCGTCCATGTAAACATGGTGGTGTTTGTCGTGACGGAGTGAATAAGTACACATGTAGCTGTGCGAGTGGATATGCTGGTGTCAATTGTGAAACAGGTATCAATGTTTTTTTCAACAATTACTTTATTTCAATCACACAGTCATTGTGTTTTTTTTTTTAAATAAATACATAAATAAACAAAAGTGTTATTGTACAATCAAAACAACTAATAGGTTGCTCACTAAGTTGTATGAAAATACAGTTATGTTTAAGTAGAACATCAAAATAAAATTGTAATTTTTTAACAACTGATCAAACAATGCATAATGCTAGTCAATAAAATTTAAAATCATCAGCTAACTTTAATTCTATTTGAAGTAAGCATGAAAATTAGCAAATGGAATATGTATATATTCCATTTTACTTCCATATCTACTTCAATTATTTATGCTTTATATGCAAGAATCAAATTTAAATCCAGCCACAAAGTTGTGTTCTTCTATCAAATCCATGTCTTGTTCAAGATTACCTCAGAGACGTCATAAGTACATGTTCTGACATTTGTATCTCTTTAATTAGTCAGTCATTGTTATTTATTGTGTCACAAACATCAGAAATACGTTATGTACGAATGTATAAGCTTGGTTTTCTCTTACCATTGAAACACAATAAAAATAAAAAGATGTGCAGACACTTACGTAGAATTTGGGTTAAAGCTATTTACTTAAAGTGTTGGTGACTCGAAAGATGCATAACCATAGCTGACTAATTTACTATTTACCTGTGTGTGTTTCCAATTAACCAGTTTCTCGACGTCTTTGTTTGCCATGTATTGTTTCAATTCGAAATGGTTTACTTAGGCATGTTTTAACACACTGAGCTGTGTTAGGACCATAAATTGTGTTCAGTCAGAAATGTTTAAAGGTTTTATTGCTTGTTTAGGTTGATATTTGGTAAACGTCCTATATGGAAGTGACGATATGAATTTAGATGTAAGTCAAGATAACACCAGCTTAATTGTATTTGTGGTACCTTGATGAGGCTCGATGGAATACATGCGTTATTCATTTTTTTATATAGCGGAACATAATTTGTTTTTCTTTTCTGAAAAGCTGTTCTATGAAGGCCGAGTATAAGAATAAAAAAAAGTCGACAAGGCGATTACGGTTGGTTTCTATAGGAAGTCGTTTGTCTGTAGAGTACACGTCACTTGAAAGTAACAAACATGTTGTCAATAAAAAATCAGGTCATCTGACTTTGAACAGGCACACACATAATACAGTGTTGTAACAGCTCAACATTAGAACAAAGTGTTAAACATGCTAAAAGCAGCAGGAACTGATTACTTCTTATCAAATCATGCCGTCCCAGATTCAATCAGAAGTATCAATCAGTACACATCTAACACATCTACTGTGAAAACATCGTAAACAGCCCTAAAACATGCCCATCTATGTTAGTCTATGATTTCTCAAAACGTTTCACTTCCTAATTTCTATATTCAGATATAAATGAGTGCAGTAGCAATCCGTGTCAACACAGAGGTGTATGCAATGATGGAGTAAATAAATACACATGTAGGTGTCAGGCTGGCTTTGTCGGTGTGCACTGTGAAAAGAGTACGTATTTTATATGAAATGTGATTTTTCGTTGAAGTGAGCAGAATATTTAAAACACTTATATGATTGATAAAAAATCAATCTTCATGATGTTTATCTTTATCCAGGTTCGCTAAGTATGAAGACTTATACTTTAATGTTACTGTTTCGGTAATATAACTGCTTCAAACCGTCACATTCTAGATGTGCCTTTCCAAAGCTCTGATTCTGTACTCTAGTGGGTGCCGTTGGCTCCTGTATTACGTTTATTGCTTTTGAATCAAATCATTTATTTTCTTCTTTGAAATGCTTTACATTTTGTTATCCCATAGCCTGCTATTGCATGTGTTACGGAACGGGTTTGTTTCATTGCTTAAGGCCGACCGATGTCATGTAGCTGCTAACAGTTAAATATTTGTTTGGTCTATGATGAATAAGCGTCGCAAAGTCCTCATTGTACATAACCTCATACATAATAAATGTGTTAAATAGATTTCAATATTACGTCAAAACAGGCATGTTAATTATGTTTAAAGGTGAATAAGACTATGAGATCCTCATGTTGTTTTCATCATAAGACCATTTTTCACTACTCTTTTTTTTTCGATTGCAAATAGTTCACTATTCTGTATATGTTAGCTTTCAATTGTATTATTTTCTTTAATATGTATGTTATGAAGTATGATTGGCACTCATACCACATCTTTTTATTAATATTATGTTTCTCTATTCTGTATATTTTTCATTCGTTATTCACTTTTCTGTAAACCCTCGTACATTAATCAGACTGTATATGTTTTGAAATACAATATTGCCAAAAAGAGTGATTTACTCGCGTTAAAATAAAACACTCAACTAGCGATTGAACATTCAGTTGCCAACTTGTTGTGAAAGATATGGTCACAAACTAACACTGTCTCAAAAAATCACTGCTGAAAACCATTAGTTACTTTACAATAAGTGTTATTCTATTTATAGATATTGACGAATGTGTAAGTAATCCTTGTCAATACGGTACGTGTCATGATGGAATCAATGGCTATACCTGTTCCTGTAAAGATGGATTTCATGGTGTTAACTGTGAGAAAGGTATTATTCATATTAAACGTAAATCAAACTTAGGAATATAGCTCATGTATACAAATATAACGAGTTAGTTTTTGCGTTCAACACACATTCGTGTGTGGTATCTATAGTATAACATAATTGTTGAATGGTCTAAAATGAATATCAGAACCAAATCGACTTACACGTGCACTGCTTATTGAATTTTGATTTATTCTTGTGTAAGTTTTGGTACATAGTTTTTAGCTTGAACGATCTCAACTAAAGACCTTTTCGCGTTCGGAATGCATAAAATCTAAAGCTTAACTATATTTTTTATGAAAAATATGTTGGAAAAGAAAAATAATAAATCAAATTTTGCATGATGAGAGAAACAGTGTTGTCCCAATATATTCTAATCACATCGACATTTATAGAAAAGTCGGTTGAAGTAACAGTTAAAACGCAAGAAAGGTGCGGATAAAATGACTTTGATATTGACAGTCCGTTTTAAATCTTTCTGTAGAATGTAAATTCGTAGCACTTAAAAATTTTCCATTGCATATGTTGTTGATTAGTTTACTTATATTGTTTTCTTTCTAAAATTAATATTCAACATTGGCATTATGAACATACTAAAAGTTACTTATTGATAGTTTGCTTATTTCTTCTTACTAGAAATTGACGAATGTGCTTCTCATCCATGTCAGAATGGTGCCACCTGTGTTGATCAGTTTAATGGATACACATGCGAATGCCTTGCAGGAGACTCCGGTAAAAACTGTGAATTAGGTTGGTGTTTTGTATTCTTGTCTTTCATTTTTGCTAATGTGCTTTGTCTGTATACCTTTTTGTGTTTCGTTGTTACATATGACGTGGCTCTGTACTTCTACATCCCGTCATTGTGTTATTGTGCTATGGTAATATTTTTTGTATTCTTGTCTTTCATTTTTGCTAATGTGCTTTGTCTATATGCCTTTTTGTGTTTCTTTGTTTCATATTTGTTTGTTTTTTAATGATTAAGATTATAACACAATGTTGACTGCTGTACCCCTATTTTTGACATTTTTACCTATTATGTCTGTTTGTTTTGTTCACACATCGTTGTCAATATAATGGAATTTTATGCGACTGTCATACAAGTGAGAGGTTTAGCTAGCTATAAAACCAGGTTTAATCCACCATTTTCTACATAAAAAAATGCCTGTACCAAGTCAGGAATATGACAGTAGTTATCCATTCGTTTGATGTGTTTGAGCTTTTGATTTTGCCATTTGATTACGGACTTTCTGTTTTGAATTTCCTCGGAGTTAGGTATTTTAGTTATTGTACTTTTTAATATATCAACTCAGATCGATCGGTGGGTTTCTTTATTATCCTATGGATTTTGAACATTTTTTTAAATCATATTTCAATTTGTATACCCGTCTCTATTTCTTCATGTTATTACTATTTCACACACTATGAGTTATATTCTCAAAATAGGGATCGTAATTGAAAATTACCATTCTCAAAATTCAATGACTTTTTAATTAGACTTCATGTATGGAATAGAAAATGATATTATAATTGTTACTGGGTGTAAAGCAGCCGTAAACAAATCATAAGCAGTGCTACCGAGGGCGATCTGCATATTCACGGTCATGGATTGTATTAGTGATTGCCATTTGTTGCTGTCTGTTTTATATGCTTTTTAAAGAAAACAATAGACTTAACGGCTACCACTGAATACAAACCCAGACAGTGAATATGCAGTTGAGGAGAGCTAACAAGTTCTACGGATGCTTAGATGCACTTCATTTGAACTTTGATGGATAGTTGTCTCATTGGCAATCATACCACTTATCCTTATTTTTATAAAGCTTTATTTACCTTAAACCTGTTAGCTGACTCTATGGTCTAATTGATTGTTTTCATGTTGACAACTTGAATCAAATGTATTTTTTCAGGGACAACGGTACCCGAAACTCCAAAAATAAACTTGATATCGGAGAAGACTGTTATTGAAGGCACCCCTGTTTTAAAAATTGCATGTTTTGCTGAAGGTATTCCTGCACCTGTAGTTACTTGGGAGGAAATTGATGTAAGATGCCAGCTATAGTAAGATTAGTATATCAATATAATTCGAGAAGAAATACATGTTTCTATTCTGATGAAAATGATATCTGTAATATATATACTGAGTACCTATAAAAACGCAAACATCATGCTCTAAACCACCTGCTGTCCCCTTTTTTTTATAGCAAGACAAACATCTTCTTTGAATGCATTTTTTTACCATTGGGCTACTTGAACAGTTTGGTTTTATTGACTTTTTTAGTTCATAGTGCGAATAGTTCCCTTGGGGTCATATTAAAAAGTCCTTCTTATCAAAATGTAATCACACAAGACCAAATGCAAAGGAAAATTGTAAAGATACATTAATCGTTCATAGTCGTCTCTGCTATATGGTTTTAATCATAAATAAGGTGGAAATTTTCCATCCAAAGTGAATATAAAACATTTAGCTATGAATGTCCAGTTTGTAAACCTTTAAATATGAAAATGAAAAAAGCTCTTAAATTTTCAAGAAATATTTTGAATGCATATCAAATTAAGTTGTCAAAATCTGAGCACGATTGGTCTCAATTCTAAAAATGTCTGATTGTTTGATGTCTTTTCAATGAAAATGCATCAAAGAGTTGTGTTTCTACTAGCACTTTTTTTGTTTCGTTTACAATACACCAAAATGTATAGTCTAGTGTTAAGAATATTTTTGATAGAAATAATAATCATGTCATTGTCATTGAATACTTCTAATTCTGTTCGTGAGTATGTTCACCAATCTATACGCATATTATCAGTTCCTTATATAATTAATTTGTGAACAGAATATACCTAAATTCGGTATTTCGACTTAGAAAGTCAGCAGCTGTAAAGCGTTTTAAACCGGTTGAAACGCCATTCATCCCTAAACCAGAGACATTGACATCCACCAATGAAATAGGCTGTGGTGTCAAACGTAAGTTAAACAAAACACACTTTACCAGAATGCATACAGACAGGACAAGACGATAAACGAAAGCTAATATCCCATTTAAAACAACAGATCTGAATTTCAGACAAAAATTACTGAAAATTATCAATTTCCTTCATGATGCATATTTCAAAGCATTACATTAACAATAAGAAAACATTTGAGGATTAACGATGGGAACTTTCGATTAAGTCATTTAAACTAATTTTAAGATAAAAATGACTTTTTTTAGAACTTAAACTGATAGTTGTCTCATCGGCAACCATACCACATCTTCTTATTTCTATAGTAATTTATAATTGATAATAGTTGTGATTACATATGTTTTGTTGTTAGATGATTTGTTTGAACCAAACGACTAAATCAATGTGACATTTCAGGCCAAGTTCCAGCCAAACGTTAGACAGATAGGACACTTCCTGGTTATTGAAAATGTAACAATATCAGATAAAGGTTATTATACATGTACAGCTAAAAACCGTGTCGGGACCGACATAAAAGCTGTCAGCGTTATTGTTACTTGTAAGTTTTAAACAATTTGCCACTGCCGTATGATGGCATTAAGAAGCAACAATGTGTTTATTATTAATTCTATTTTGGCGGATGGTGCTAGAACTTGTTTTATTTCCTTCCGTTATAATTACTATCTAGCATGTAAAATTAAAAAAAAAAAGAATATTAAGCAATTAACTTTTGAAAGGCATATAATTGAGAACATACTGTAAACCATCTAATTTTCGCGAGCGATTTACTTTTGCGAGAAGAAAAATAAGGTGAATATAAATCGTCGCAAAAATTTAAAACTTGTATCTTTCCTTGTTTAATTACATCGAGTAAATTTGAAAATCGCCGAATCAAAACGCCGCGAATTAGGTTAGAAAGGGCTAAACGCGAAATAAAGTATCCGCGAAAATAAGTTGGTTTACAATATTTAATTATGAAATGACCTTTAAGGTAATTTTTATATTTCAGTAAAACCATTTTTACTAAATGCCAGATGTCAATTGTCAGTATTTTCAGTTTTTAAAGTTTGCTTGTGTGGGTTCAATTTTTTTTACTGAAGTGCACTACTGCAAAACCTCCGAAAAATAGTCTCATTTGGAGATCTGGTCACCAGCATTTACATATCGGTCAATGCTTCCCCCCCCCCCCCCCCCCCCCCAAAAGAAAATATCCAACAAAGATAAACTGTGCAAAGATTTTAATATTAGCAAAACGTCTTTTTTGTAGGGCCATAGCTCTTATATATAAATCTATATGGTCCATTTACTGTTCAAATATGTCGCATTCGATATGTTTATGACATTACACCTGACTTTTATACTCTAAAATATCCAGTTATATCAGCCTGTTCATCTATCAACAAAATGAATAAAGCCTAAATATATGATTTCAGCAATTTCAGTTTTCATTATATCAGTAAATGTAAAAATCATTCAAAACACTTCAAAATTTTCCTCTAATATGTCTACCAAGCATACATAATTTTTGTATTAGTTATTATTGGCTTTGAACTAGCTATTTTGCAACTGCGAGTACTCTTAGATCTTTACTTGTGTCTGTTGTGCTGTGGGATATATAGATGCGCTACGCTGCCACGTCTGGTCTGTGTTTTCGTTAAATGTAATTTGCTTTTTACGGATCTGATGAGTTCAGCCCTTTTCAACTAATTTTTATAGTTTGTTCTTGTGTTGAATTGTTACACCACTGTCCCAGGTTAAAAGGGAATTTGGTGCGAGCAGACTAGTTTAACACCGCTACATTCTATATAAGCCTGTCCAAAGTAAGGAGGCTGTTGTTCAGTGGTTGTCGTTGGTTCATATAAATAAGAAGATGTGGTATGAGTCTCAATGAGACAACTCTCCATCCAAGCCACAATGTATAAAAAGTTAACAATTATAGGTCAAAGTACGGCCTTGAACACGGAGCATTGGCTCAAACCTAACAGCAAACTATAAAGGGCCCCAACATGACTAGTGTAAAACAATTCAAACAGGACACCAACGGTCTAATCTTTTTATTATTTTTTTTTTTTTTCGTAAATTGTTTTGTTATAAATTAGGCAGTTTTTTTCCTAAATTGATATTTTTCAAATTTTACATGTCGCTGCCTCATATAGCCGACTATACGGTATGTTTTTTTTTTCTTCCATTGTTGTAGGCCGTACGGTTGCCTAGAAGTTTTCAATCCTCTTTAATATAGTAATCGATTGGTCTACTAAATGTTTTGATTCAAGTGTAACATTTGAGTCGGGTTCATCAGAAATACGCATCTTTTGTTGGTGTTAATCCCTGATCCGGATTAATTTGCAGCAAGTATTAAATTAGGCCTTCGGTCTGTTGTACTTTCCAGCATATATTTTTGGTATTCCTATAATCCCTTTTTTATTGTACAAGGATCATCTAATGAAAAAAAAGGACTAAACAAATATAGACAGATGCATATCATCTCTGCTGCAAAGACATTCAGAAATTTAGTTTATCAACATTACTATTAACATTGAAGACAGCAAAATAAATAAGTTTTCCTTTGCATGCACATGTATATCAATTAATAGAAAAGGGTTGCAAATCTTAACAGCACAGACCACAAGACCATATGTTGCACCAGTTATTTCTGCACCATCAACAGTAATCGTGAAATACTACACTGATGCTAGGCTGGTATGCAATGTAACTGGATATCCAACACCAAGTGTTAGATGGGAATATAATCAGGTTACACAGTTTTTATGAATTTTAGTATGTCGTTAGTTATATATAAACTCGTCAGAGATATCATATGTAAGGTAGGCGAAAGAAACCAAAGGGACATTTAAATTCATTGGTCAAAAACAGCTGACAATGCCATTGGACAACTTAAAACGATAAAAAAGCAAACAACAATATACAAATCACAAGAAGTAAACCAAAGACTGAGCAACATGAATCACACCATAAACCGGAAGGGGGGATTGTATGTGCACCGGAAGGGTACTCAGATTATATATGCTGCACTTGTAGTATCCGTAGTATTACTTATGTAAGTACACACCCGGTTATAAGTCTTATTCAGTAGGTCACATTCGAAGAAAACTCTAATTAATAAATTCTTCCAGATAAATCTTCCATAAAAAGTAAACTTTTCGTTTGTCTCGTAGTTCTAAACAGTGCTTGTCAATGTCAAATTCCCGTGAAAAGAAATATATTTTATAACAAGTTATTTAAGGGGTCCGATAAATGTTTGCCCTTAAAGTTGAATTAATTTGACTGGTTTTTTTTATATTTGTCGTGTATATGTTATTATATTGTACAAGTTATCACTTTTACAAAAACTGTGTACAAGTAATAACTTGTACGATGTCTTCATACAAACTCACTATATCTTTGAGTTATATTTTTTCTTGCTTCTGTTATTTTAAATGTTTTATTCAAAAACTCTTTTCTTTCGGTTTGTAATTTTGGTTGTTTTTTTTTTTTTTTTTTTTTTTTTTTTTTTTTGTCAACAAGGTCTACATGTACCTGACAACGAGAATAAAAGTCTGTAGAAGTGATAGGACGACCGACTAATTTTGTGGTTTTAGAGGGGCAGCCCCGATATTCCGACATCCCATTAGTCCGACACCCCAATAGTCCGATGCCTCATTAGTCCGACATCCCAATAGTCCGACACCGCATTGGTCCGACGCCCCAATAGTCCGACAATGAATAATTAAACAAAAATTATATCTCTTTTATATTTGAAAGCATGATGACGTGTTCATTTAATACTAACACTGCATTTAGAAAAATAATTCCTTGTCCATCGACTGATCAAGAACAGTAAATGCAAGTAATCAAGTTAGGTTGGCAGTCACCGTTGTATTAGTGGAAACAGTAGGATATATTCACTCAAACAAATTACACATAGATTGATAGAGACTCGGGCCTCATGTTTTACGTAACTAAGAAAGTTTAGGCTCTACTTTACTGCTTACATGATTGTGTGTGTGATGCTGGCTTCATTGTACAGAATGGACAAATGTTTTTTGTTAAATGCTAATAGTGCTTAACTTGAATACATGAAGCACCCTTTTCTATATTATTAGACTTGTTGACAGCTAAAATGAAACATTGATGTCAATTTGATTTATCTTTTAGCACCAACGTTTCAACTCGAAGAGAGAGATTTAATTAAAGTTAATGCCTTGAACTCTTTAAGACGGTGAAAAAAAAGGGTAAAAAGTATACACTGACGGATGGATATAAGGACGGACAGACGGACGGACGCCTGGTGTTTCTGTGTCCCCTGCATCGCGTCGCGTAGAAGTCAATTAAACTGGGAAATCCAATTAAACATTTCATAATTTCTAGACATCTAACAAACAAGCAGATCAGAAGGTTATGGAATTTTTTTTTAAGAAATCCCTATGTTGCTATATGCAATGAACAACTTCCGATCCAAGCGGACCAACCTCTATGAGGAAAATTAAATTATACGAAGCAAAGATTAACTCTTTTGGAAGGTAAATTTAAAAAAAACGGTATTTGCATGTATACAATGCGAATAAATCAAGAAATTTCAAACCGGACAATCTTATGTATGTTGTAATATTTTGGCATTGATGTCAAAGTAAAAGGCTATTCATCAGTTCTTGTGATATGCCACACATTTTCTTATCGGTGTATAGATACACCCACGTGCTAAAAATTAAAATCTGCGTCAAAAGATAATAAATTCTGCTTAAAAAGATAACTGCATGAGAAATGAAAATCAACACAAAAAAGAAAAACGAAATTCTTTATAATTGGTATTTGCAGCTTTTCCGCCAATCAAGCGACATGTATACCGTTAAACCGCAACTAAAGAGTTAAAAACTCCCATATTTTCCTTTAAAGTATGTAAAAACGTTTACGAATAAAATGATTATTTAACTAAATATCTACCCGAGCAAAATCTGTAATTATTTGGAGAGAACTAGTAAGAAATTAGGTCAACATCGATCGAAGTCAGAAAAATATTTATATTAACTAAACGATAATATGCATGATGACTGTTTGTAGAAAATTTTGGGGGAAAACAGAATGACAAATAAATTAAATAAACAGGTCAGTGTTAAAAACATATATATTACAAGCAATATCAAGGATAGCATTTGAAGTGATTTCTACATTTCTTCTACAAAAATGGACCAAAACAGCTCTGACCCAGAAACAATCTATTTGTATAAGTACTCGTCCACGTTCCATTCTGTGTTTTTGTTAGATGTATTTCTATTTGTATCCATCTGATTAGTTAATCCTTTTTCGACTGATTTGTGTCTCGCCTTGACGGAGTCAAAAAGCGAGACATATGTATGCTGTTTCTGACGTCGGCGGAGGAGGCGTCAACAATGTATTATTTTGTGATTAGGTCTAGTTTATGGGGAACCACTAGTGGTAGGTCAGTGATATTTGGTATGCAGTTGTGTCAGTATTGGCACATCTCGTATTTTGGCCCTGTCCCATCAGTCATTCAAATTACAAAAAGGTGAGACATATCTCTGTATTAACAGTTTATTATAGTTTGTTCTTATGTTGCACTCTTACACCACCTTCCCAGGTTAGATGGGGGAGGGGGGGGGGGGGGGGGTTGATCGCTCACAAACATGTTTAATCCCGCCACATTCTTTATGTGCCTGTCCCAAGTCAGAAGCCTGTGGTTCAGTGGTTGTCGTTGGTTCATGTCTGTCAGATTTGTTTTTCGTAAATTATTTTGTTATAAATTAGGCCGTAAGTTTTCTCAATTGAATTGTTTCATATTTTTCATGTCGGGGTCTTTTATAGCTGACATTGTTTCTCATTGTTGAAGGCCGTACATTTGCCTATAATTGCTTACATCCACTTCATTTGAACTTTGGTGGATAGTTGTCTCATTGGCGTCACATCTCCTAATTTTTATATTTGTCAACAACTCATACAAAATTTTACTCGTACGCAAGTCAAAGTGTTTTTAGCTTTTACTTTGTGATAACGAGTAGCATGGAGACAAGATAATCTGTAGTATAGGTGGAAAAGGAAGGGTCCATGTTTCCCCACTTTCACGAAACTTTTTTTTTTGATAAAAAAGATAATAGTTTTTGTTAAAAATTGTGTATACTCCTAAGGCGTTCTTGCGATCTAACTCTCATTGCATTCCTGTGTCAATGTCAGTGAAGTGGTGTGGGTTGCTAGAGTTAACTTATTTGCACAAAGCATGTTTGCTTGTGCTATTCAATCGATCAAAATTTCGACCGAAAATCAATTATTCGTATAGCGGAAAGAAAAGACTAGTGTTATTAAGGGACAGTAAGGAAGACGAATGAAAATAACAGTGTACAGAAAAAAAGATTTGTTGTTTTATGAATATGCAATTACAAATCAAATCGTGGACGTACATTCCCACGAATATTCGTACATGATCGATATTTTTTTTGTTTAATGTCCAGTGGCAAATGTTTCATTGCTATTCAATACAAGTTCATTCTGACAGCAAATTGAATCCGTTTTGTTGAAGATTCAACCTCAACATAGTCTTTATATATTGAACCAATTATCATCGATTGATTAATATTACTAACAAACTTTTAAACTCACTAATTTTTAATTATATAATCAATTAACAATTCGACAACTTTCAGTTTTGAAAGCTTTCGATCTATACGTTCGTGTACAATGTAGATGACCAGAAATTATCATGCTTGAAAAAATACTATGGTCATGGTATTTCTTAAATACCAAATGGGTATTATGGAATATCTATTTCCGTTTCTAATAAGAAAGAGTAGTTCATATACCACGTCAATCATGATTCTCTGAATATGTTCTATTACAGTAACAACAGTAATTTACCTTTGTCGGACTATTGGGGTGTCGGATTAATGGTGTGTCGGGCCAATGGGGCGTCGGACTAATGGGGTGTCGGACCAATGGTGTGTCGGACTAGTGGCATGTCGGAATATCGGGGCGACCCCGTTTCGGAGACTTTTTTTTCAAAATACACTGTTTACACATCTGAATGAAAATCCTGATAATTTCTCAGCTGATATAGGCAAATTGTTTTTTACTCCATAAAAGTTTAGTGTATGCCTACATGAGCAACTCCAGAGTGTGCTGTTCTAATCAGAAGGAAAAGTTCAATAACAGATAATTTTGTCTCCTTAACGAATGAATTTTACAATTCCTGCTACATTCAAAGCTAAAAAGGTAGATTGATTAAGTGATTGGTGTTTAACGCCACTTTCAATAACATTGTGCTATTTCGTGGCGGTCAGTTTTTATTGGTGGAGAAAGCAAGAGTGCCCAGAGAGAACCATGACCTTTGGTAGGAAAACTGACAATCCTAGTCATTTAAGATTGGAGCCGAGTGCACCTACCCCGTGCGGTATTCGAACTCACAACCTCAGTGTTGACTGGCTAGTGATACATTAGTTCGACTACTTAGACCACTGGGACACCGAGGCCCTTGGCCAAGGTAGAATGATGATTTGTTCAAGTTATTATCTATTTCTCAATAAAAATTGTACCAGTAATTAGTTTTACAATTGTATTTGTACAAGTAATAACTTGTACGATTGCATCATACAAGTAATTACTTGTACAAAATGTTTGTACAAGTTATAACTTGTACAAAATAATAACATGTAGACGACATATTCATATTTCAAATAAAACTGAATAAATGTGATGCAATAAAAAAACCTTCGATACATTCAATGTCTCCTAAATAATACAAATAATTTTAAGAAATTAAGACTTTTACCACTTTCAAACATTCAATCTACATTGTATTTATATATTTTCTCTAGGACAGAAATATTCCTGGTGTTAAAATATCAGGTGGTGTCATGCTAATTTCAAATGTTACAAGTGGGGCTACTGGTCTATACACATGCATAGCTACAAATGATATCGGATCAAGTCGAGCAAATATAATGCTAGAAGCTACTTATGGTATGTACTGCACATGATAAACGCATAAATTTCGTCACGTTTTTTTTTTTTAATTTCGAATAACAAATAATGAACTTTTTGTTTAGTACGGAAGCCGATAAGGGCCATTCAAAAAAAAAAATTTATGTCGTAATTACGACATAACATGTCGTAATAACGACATCACTATGTCGTAATTTCCACATAACATGTCGTTATAACGACATCACTATGTCGTAATTTCCACATAACATGTCGTTTTAACGACATCGCTATGTCGTAATTTCGACATAACATGTCGTTATAACGACATCGCTTTGTCGTAATTTCGACATAACAAGTCGTAATTACGACATCATACCTTATAGTTTAACTTTTCACTTTTTGAAGCGATAGGAATTTCAAAATGGTCGCCAGTAAAGGCAAAGTTTGTAGAGTAAACAAATTCGTCTTTTTTTTTTTGAGAATATTGAACACTTTATGCAATCAAGCTTAATTAAAGTTATTCACCAGCACCTCAGACTTGCACATACTAGAAATTTATTCATAATCAAGTCAAATGAGACCCAGTTGAATAGGGGAGCAATTCAAGCTCCCTGGAGCATCTAATTATGTTTGGCATTGCAGGTTCTGAATAAGATGAATTTTAAGCTTTTCCCAATAAAGACTATGTTAAACTTTGGACTCATAGTGCTCAGACCCACAGATCTCTGTACCTTCATTTGTACACACTTGAATCTTAATGTACTACTGAGGCTTGATGCAAATTATAACTGCATTGCTATTGTTGGTTCTTAATGAGATTCTTCAAGCGTCCTCCCCATTGAAGCCCTATTAAAACTTTGTACCCCATGTTCTTTTAACCACTGTTCCCCAGGACAACTATTCCTACAATATATTAACCTTTGGCATGCTGAATTGTTATCAGAAATTGTCTAAATTTCGAGTATTTGTAAAAATAATCAAATGATATGCAAATGAGCTGTACCCTGATGCTGATGCATACTGGTTGCATTAAATCTAAGATAGCCAAGGGTTAATATCCCTGAGGTTAGAAACCATTTTTTTCCAGTTTTCTCTCCAATTTTGATGTTTATTCGTCTTATTTGGGACCTACAGAGGTTATCAAGGCCTTGGGATACGCTGGTTTGTTCAAAAACGCAACTCTCAACAAGAAACCAAATGACACAGACATTTACAATTAAAGTCACCGTACGGCCTTCAACAATGATCACAGCCCATACCGCATAGTCAGCTATAAAAGGCCCCGAAATGACAAATGTAATACAATTCAAACGAGAAAAACTAGCGGCCTATTTTATGTACAAAAATAAACGAAAAACAAATATGTAAATTAAAGACTTGGGACATACACATACATAAAGAATGTAGCGGGGTTAAACATGTTAGCGGGATCCTAACCCTCCCCTTAAGTTTGTAGGAATAGTTGTCCTGGGGAACAGTGGTTAAAATAACTTGGGGTACAAAGTTTTAATAGGGCTTCAATGGGGAGGACGCTTGAAGAATCTCATTAAGAACCAACAATAGCAATGCAGTTATAATTTGCATCAAGCCTCAGTAGTACATTAAGATTCAAGTGTGTACAAATGAAGGTACAGAGATCATTGGGTCTGAGCACTATGAGTCCAAAGTTTAACATAGTCTTTATTGGGAAAAGCTTAAAATTCATCTTATTCAGAACCTGCAATGGAAATGCAGGACTTCATAATTTACACAAATCTGTACATGCCAAACATAATTAGAGGCTCCAAGGAGCTTGAATTGCTCCCCTATTCAACTGGGTCTCATTTGACTTGATTATAAATAAAGTTCTAGTATGTGCAAGTCTTAGGTGCAAGTGAATAACTTTAATTAAGCTTGATTGCATATAGTGTTAATTATTCTAAAAAAAAAAAGATGAATTTGTTTCCGCTACAAACTTTGCCTTTACTGACAACCATTTTGAAATGCCTATCGCATCAAAAAGTGAAAAGTTAAACTATAAGGTTGCCGTTATTATCACATAGCGGTCAGGAGTCTGTAATTCAGTGGTTGTCATTTGTTTCTGTGTTACATATTCGTTTTTCGGTCTTTGTTTGTACATTATTAAAACCGTTATTTTCACTCGTTTGAATTAAATTATTAAACAGCTGTCATGTCGGGGACTCTCCCTCTAGTATCTTTCGTTCCTCTTTTATAGACTACTATGCGGTGGCTTTTCTCATTATTGAGGGCATTATGATGACCTATAGTTGTTAATTTCTGTGTCATTAAGTCTCTTGGCAATCATAATACATATTCTTATATATATATATATATATATATAGCGATGTCGTTATTACGACATAGCTATGTCGTTATTACGACATAGTGATGTCGTAATAACGACATGTTATGTCGAAATTACGACATAGCAATGTCGTTATAACGACATGTTATGTCGAAATTACGACATAGCAATGTCGTTATAACGACATGTTATGTTGAAATTACGACATAGCGATGTCTTTATTACGACATGCTATGTCGTAATTACGACATAATTTTTTTTTTTAATGGCCCTTATCGGCTTCCGTAGTTTAGTACAAAGATCTGAGTTTTTTTTTATTCCTCAACACCAATATTATTATTATATCCGGGCGCAAGAAATTTATAACTGTCATTTTTTTTGTATGCAGAATCCAAATGAGATTTATTTTTTTATAATTTGTAGCATTGAACCAAATAAAATGTGTATGCTTCAATCATCTATTTTACAATGTATATTTGTATTCTTTTTTATTTGTATTTTTACAGATTCTCCGACACTCCTTACGTCTCCTTTGGTTTATTCGGGAAATGCAGGTATATCCCATAACTTCACCTGTTCTGCGACAGGCCATCCAGTTCCCATAATAACATGGACGTTCTCATCAGTAAGAATCTATCATTATTAGACATTAACATTGGACAAATTCAGTATGGAAACTTCCGGTCTTGAACACTACAGCGTTTTTTTTTTTGGAAATTTGAAAACAAGATTACGTCGATAAATATCATCGGCGTTTTATTCAACCAGTACGTCCAGAACAGTGACACGCATGTAATACAACACAGTCTGATTTTTTTCCTACTGGTCAACAGATATTAGAATTAGTATCTAACAATGAGACAACTCCTTCATTATTTTGTTCTTTCTTATTTTTTCTGAAGATGAACAAAGTCACAACATAGAAAATATTACAAAAAGATACATATATTTCGAGAGGATGTTGTGTTATTAGTCGTCAATCTTTTTCTAAAGTATCTCAGCTTAGAATATGAAAAATACAGTACACCAAAGGTTTTTTTACTGATCACTTTCAAATTTTAACATATCTACTCCTAATGTGATACTTAAACTAAATATAAGACATCCAATATTCCTCACATGAAAACGACCAATATAACTCTAAATAGACGTTAGACAACAATAGCATAACTCGTGAACGGAAAGAACAGCAGTAAAATATAGTTATTTTCAATTTTAATCAAAGGCATTTGTCTTTTTATTAATACCGAACTACTGGTTAATGGATTTGATCAAGCGTATATGTTAATACTCGTTACTACGGTTTACGGAAGCGTATTAGCGCCACACAATTTTTTTTATAATTTTCTTCCTATCTTTGCGATATAACGCAAACCTTTGCGATATAACGCAAACTTTTGCGAAATAACGCAAACATTTGCAAAATAACGCAAACAATTTTTTTTATCTTATTTCCTATTTAAGATTCAAAGGAAGTAGCAGTTATAAATGGAGGAGGCTGAATACATTAAAATGTATCCTAGCTCCTTTGTACTCATAACAAAGAAAATTGCTTGAATATTTAGAACATATCATTGACTAATAATGAATAGGATAATAGATATAAGAAGATGTGGTATGAATGGCAATGAGACAACTCTCCATCCAAGTCACACTTTCTAAAATCAAACAATTTAATATAGGTCAAAGTACGGTCTTCAACACGGAGCCTTGGTTCACACCGAACAGCAAGCTATACAGGGTCCCAAAAATTATATACATGATAATACATTTATATATATTACTAAGAAAATTGAGTAAATTGAAGTTGTATTTAAGAATATAAAAAATCAACCCTGCTAATATAGCTATAGCCAAATATAAATATACTTCCAAAGTAAGCTCTCGTTTGAGGATTGTGTAAGGTTGGTTAGATCCAAACAAGCTACATTTTTGCAATAAAATGAAGATGTTTTATTATTAAAGTTGTGTTCTCGACATTTAAATTATTACCCAAGTATCTTAAAGTTACTTCACTAGATTGAAATGAAAATTCCATGAATTTCTATCAAAGAATCTTGATCATATTCTGACATTTAAAAAAATCTTGCATCAAAATTTAAAAAAAACAAATGTTTTTTCATTAATAATTCATTTTAAAGCAGAAAGATCATTTTGTCTATTTGACTTGAAAGTTTCACAAATGTATGACATTAGTTTTGCTCTTTCAATTAAAATATGCCTATACAATATCTATTTTTTTGTTAAATTATATACTTTTCTGATGCACAAATCATTCTTAATTTATGTATAATTGCACTTTAAGTATTCCATTATTCCTATGCATATTTATTATAATGAGTTGGCCTTGTATTTATGGTTCTTTTCCTATCTACTAGTAAATCACAACCGAAATTAATGACAGACGGACATATATACAAAACTTAATGAATAATTCAAATCAAGATGTTTGCGTTTTAACGCAAAGGTTTGCGTTATATCGCAAATGTTTGCGTTATTTCGCAAAGGTTTGCGTTATAACGCAAAAGTTTGCGTAATTTCGCAAAAGTTTGCGTTTTAACGCAAAAGGTTTGCGTTATTTCGCAAAGGTTTGCGTTATAATGCAAAGGTTTGCGTTATTTCGCAAAGGTTTGCGTTATTTCGCAAAGGTTTGCGTTATTTCGCAAACATAGGAAGAAATATTAAAAAAAAAGTTGTGTGGCGCTAATACGCTTCCGTAACGGTTGATAATTTGACAGCAAATTTCATTTGAACGAATTCCAATTTATATGAACTTTGGTGGATAGTTGTCTCATTTGTAATCATACCAAATCTATTTCTATATTATATATATATCCCAAAATTAGTTATTTCATACTTTTACAGAATGAACCAGTTTTTGTGTTAACACTGTTTCGTAGATAATTATACGACACTTCAGTATGTCTAAATCTTTGATTAAGGAAATATTAAAAAAGTTAGCCTGTTAAACAATCCGAACAATTTCCTTTCCATACAAACCGTTTTTACAACAATTCCTAACGTTTAAGATTTTGTATTAGAACATGCATAATGTAATCTGTTAACACAGATATGCATAAAGGATCTCAATAGGGCTTTCAAAATAGAAAATAATGGGCCAACATTCACAGGAACATGACAAACTCGAGGCTCTTAAGAGCCTGTGTCGCTCACCTTGGTCTATGTGCATATTCAACAAGTGACACTCTCAAACATTGTAGGCGAGTATAGAATTCATGACAAAAACCTCTGTTTTGTTGATATTGTATTGTCGATCATTTAGTTTGTTTTGTTTCTCTCTTTCTTCTTCAGTTTTTGCTCAAAACACAAAAGAGGGTAAAAAAAAACAAAATTAGGGGCAATCACTTTTATAAAGAGTGACAGTCTACTATCTCTATCGGCAAAATTTGACTTGTTAGTAGATCTTGTCTTGCTAATCAGTTTTGCTTATTTAAGTTTCTATCTATCTATTATAATTTTTATCATATAAGGCACAACGCAAAAAAAAATGATAAAAATCGTCATTAAAGGGCAACAACTCCAATAAGGAGTCAGGGGACGATTTCCACCATATTGTATTAAATGTAGACCTTGTCTTGCTGATCAGTTTTGCCTATTTAAGTTTCTATCTATATATCTATTATAATTTTTAAGATATAAGGCAAAACGCAAATATTTTGTAAAAAATCGTCATCAAAGGGCCATAACTCTAATAAGGAGTCGACTGACGATTTCAACCAATAAACTTATTTGAAGAACATGTCTAGCTGATCATTTTTGCATTTTTAAAGTTTCTCTCTATATATTATAGTTTTCACGATAAAAGGCAAAAATGAAAAAATAATGGTAAAATTTGTCATTTAAGGGCAATAACGCCTATAAAAAAATCGTCTGACAGTTTTGACATAAATAGACAATAGGTAGAACTAAATATTCTGAACATTTTTGCCCTTGTCAGATTTTCTTTATTTATAACGGTTTTCAAATTAATAGACAAAACTTGCATTTTACCCCTACGTTCTTTTTTTTTTAGCCATGTCGGCCATCATGGTCGGCGAGCGGAATCATTGGACACTTTTCTTAAACTAAATAACTTAATGATGATTTTGACTAAGTTTGGTTAAATATGACCCAGTAGTTTCAGAGGAGAAGATTTTTGTAAAAGTTAACAGACAACGACGGACTACGACGACGACGGACGAAGACGGACGACGGACGCCAAGTGATGAGAAAAGCTCACTTGACCTTTTTGGCCAGGTGAGCTTAAAAGAGAATAGAGAACAATAGGGCAAAAACATATAATATAAAAAGTAAAATATATTGAATAGAGAATTATGGCCAAACAATGTATAGAATAGAGAACATGAACTAACAATTTAAGAATTCAGAAATGAAGGACACCCATCCATACCAACAAAGAGGGTAAAAAACATTGTATTTATTTCAGATTGGTTAAAAACATTGTGTCAATTGAATCATTTTTGTATAAGTTATCTTTGTCTTTAGTTTTCTCATCAAATTGATACACTGCCTCCACATAAGATACATAGTAATGGTGATGTAATAGAGATGGTTGATATGCAAGAGTCTGGAATCCTTACTTGTACAGCAACAAATGAATTTGGAGTGGATACCGCAAAAGCAACAGTTATTGTTCACCACAGTAAGTAAAATACGCCATTGTAGAATACAAAGTATGTTATATGTGGTCAATGCGTTTTAAAATTTTTCCCAGATATTAATGCGGTTCCTAACTGTTTTTATGAATCAACACAGATTTTCAAAAAGCAAGTGGATACATTTATATACTACATCATCACTTTGAGTGTGGACTTTTACTTTCTTTAGGGACCGGTCATTATTTATCTCCAGGAGGGGCTGGCAAAAAAGTAGGGGAGTCATGAAAAAATGGAAACTGATAGAGGGGGGTCACTCCTCTCCAGGTTGATGAAGCAGTGTGTGTGTTGGGGGGAGGGGTCATGATTTTATTGACCATAGATTCAATGATCGCCATATTGTGCTATGACCATAGACTATATTGTTGTTTGGGTTTTTCAGAGCTAACTTGCAGCTTGATGTTGGTTCCACATGTTGAAGACATAAATGTGGTGACATCTGAATGTTATTTTTACTTTTGCATGTAAAATAAAAAATGGATTTGCATATAAATGGAAATAAATGTATTCAGCCCAAGAAAATGTCTCCTAGTATTACATTTTGCCAAATATCAAACTGTCACTATCAGTGATCTAGCTAAAGCTAGTCACTTTACTCTTTGACTAATTATATTGTCAAGTGACTAATGAATTTTACCAAAAAATGTGCAAAATTAGTCACTTTTCATATGTTTTTCTTAGATGTTGTAGGACTAAGAAACTAGGAGAAGTGACTATAAAATTGGTTTCAAAATCCTGGCTTCACCACATCAAAGGTAGACTTTCAGTTTGTTTTCATGTCTTTATGGAATTCTTTTGCATATTATACATATAAAACACAATTTATAAAAGATTGATCACATTGAAAAGTCGAACGGGTTTCACAATTGTGTGGCTATTCATGCAAAGGTGACACCATTTGGATTTTTCAAGATGAACTTTTATATTTTACAAACTGTTTTGTTTTATGTGTACAAAAAATATTCTATAAAGTCTTAGACCTCAAAGCATTTTCTACTTATTTTTAACATTTTTTAAAACACTTTTGAAGACTGCAGAATATTTTCTTCACATTCAAAATTATATTCAAGAAAAAAATTCATTTTTTAACATCCTGACATTCTGTATGTATACAATAAAAAGTAATGCTCAGATATCAAAACAAAGTCCAAAGTATATACTCATTAAAACCATATGCATAAATGACAAAATTATAATTAAATAAGCAACTGAAACTCCAATTAGTTTTGAGTTTGACTAGGTGGTGCATATCAATGGATGAAGGATGAGCTAATAATGCCACTTTTTAAAATCTGGTTTTATATAAAAATATAAAAGAAATTTTGACATTTTGGAAATACTTTTGGTCCTAGTCTGTATTCATTTAATAGTTTTGAAGAAAAAAACTTTGATGTTGTAATCTTCACTATAAATGAATATTTTTTTAAACTTATTAAAATAAGATTTGCACGATATGATATACTGTCTCATGATTTTGTTTTATTATAAAGCCATTTTATTATATTAAAGGGTATTTTTAATATACAAAATTTGTGATTTAAAATAGCAATCATAATGCTGATTTGAGATTATTATGGAACTATTTTTTTAGAATAATATTTCCATATAAACGTATTGTTGATATTATAGTAAATTGTATTTATATGGCAAAAAGTCTTGACACTGTTTCTTCAAACAATTGGCATTTGGCTTGTTAAAGACTTGAAGTTACATCAGGGTATCCTTCTATCGGTTATTGTTGTCCTCAATGCATTTCTCTGTGTATGTTTATCAAAATCCCTTAATTTCATTCCCTTTGAGCTATTTTACCTATTAATAGGAATATTAGCAACACATTATGACGATTGAATCATTCGAAACCTTTCAATTATAATCAGAAAAGAGGGTGTGGTCAAAAGTTGTTATGTAATTGAAAGAGGGGGTTACATTTTTTAACACATTTTGAAAAGGGGGGGGGGTCAATCATATTTGATCATTTCAAATTTACATTTTGCCGCACTCCCCACCACACCCCACCCCCTGGAGATAAATAATGACCGGTCCCTTAGCCGAATGTTATTGCTGCTTGTCATGACGATAATGTTTGTTTTTATATTGCAGGCTCCGCAGTAGTAGGATGATAATCACAGTCCAGATACAGATTATTCAAGGAATGTTTTTTTTTAATAAAATACAATTATATAACCATGATAACAGTAAAAAGTGTATTTAGAAACAACGTAATTCTAGGGGGAAATGAAGCTCTTTTTTCGGGATTTACTTTCAACAGGAATGTTCAAAGCCTAATTTTTGAAAGAAGATGTATAAGACAGTCAAAGAGCTATATAACCAAACAAAGACCAAACAAAATAGCAAAATCCATATAAGGTGAACTTTGCCTCAGGTAGTTGAAACCTTAGTTTATTGATAGTTTCTTAATTTATAAACGATGTCTAAAGTAACGTATACACTTTACCAATCTGATAACAATACAGATCCAATGTCAAAGAAAATGTAGAAATATGTCTCCCTCATGTATAGCTAAGATTCCTTTTCCGGATTCAGATTTCTCCTTTTTGTTTTTATCATCTCTTTTCCTTTACGTTTGGGATTTCCCAATATTTTGGCCTCGAGTATTATAAAAAAACTTTTCAAAGATACAATGCTTATGATTTTGAACAGCAGACGCGCGTTTCGTCTACAACAGACTCATCAGTGACGCTCGAATAAAAACATTTTAAATGCCAAATAAGGAACGTAGTTGAAGAGCATTGAGAAACCAAATTCCGAGAGGTTTTGCCAAAAAAACAACTAAGGTAATCTGGCGTACAAAATCTTCTGTATTTTGATCAATTCGATTTTATAATTTTGAGTGTTGAGTATCTGAGTATGTCAATGAAAATTCATGTCAACACAGAATTTGAATCATGGACGCGAACATTTTCAAGTTGGGTTATCTCTCGTTTATTAATAAAAGAAAATCACAATTTAAAAGTCACAGAAACGTCTGTCATGTTCTCTTGCACATTACAATTAATTTATATTTGTTTCTAATGTAAACTTAACCAAATGTTGAAAGGCAGTGCGTCTCTATATGAATACTTTCGTCTCAACCAGTGGCGGATCCAAGAGGGGGTAGAGGGGTTTCCGGGGTTGGACCCCCCTTTTTTGCGATCAATGCTTTTGAATGGGGACATATGATTTGAACCCCCCTTTATCCTGGGTTGGAATGGCTCCGCCCCTGTCAACCATAAAATATACTGCATGTTTTTAAATATAAATGAACGAACAACACGAAAAGACAACACGACCTTAAACAAAAACCATATGTCGACGACAGACAGCAAATATAAAAAAATATTAAACGAGACATGGGCCAAAATAAAAGTCAGGAACAAATTTCAACCACCACCAGAAAATGCAATGTGTAGACTGAGTATCATGCAGAATTATATGTGGTATTGAAAACAAGGTTTATGACTACATTTGAAAGTTGATAGCTTCATCGAGTTGAGAGACCATACATGTAGCTATGATCTGTTTATCGCTATTTACCTAGGCATCGTCAATGGTGTTGGTTTATGACGTCTTCAACTACTAAGAAAAACATCATCAGTCGAGTTGTTCGAGATTAAAAATTACTACACAAAAAGATCAAAGAACAATTTATGTAAATAGAGATAATCTCGTATAATCTTGACGTCATAATTAAAAAAAGTGATCGTTGCATGGCGTAATACGGTTTTTCGGATACAGATCTAAGGTCATTCGTAGACATAGTACAGCTCAATACCAAAAAGTGTGAAAACGTCTTTTAATCAGATAGATTTTTTTTATGTACAAAGGAATTTGATTCATGAAGATTGAAGATAAAGCGATTTTGTATCTTAGCCGTTTTAAGATATGAACTATTATAATTTATTTAACAAGTTCTGTGCCATAGGGCCAATAAATTGACCTAAGCAATATCTGAAAAATGCCTAAAAACCAATATATTGGCCCTTGATTAGTAAAAATATTATAATATTTTGAGAAACAAATACGACTTTGTGTCTTATAAAAATGTACAAAATAAGTTGGTAAGATAACTACGACAGTTAAATCCAAATAATTTAACTGTTTTATTTCGTATACTGTACCGTTAATAATAGTGTGATGTTGACGTTTATTACGTTACTCTCACAACAACAACAAGTACCGCTCGGGAACAAACAAAACGTTGGTATACTTTCAAATCTTGACAATTGTAGTCATATGAAAATTGTATTTAACATGCTGGAAAAGATGTTTGGAAAATTTCCTTAGCCATGGTATTATGCCCTCCCCCCCCCCCCCCCCCTTGCCATGGTATATTGAACCTCCTACTATACACCTCCAATTTAAAAAAAAATCATTGCCAACATATTTTACATTAGATAATCTGCAATACTATTTATCTAAAACATGGGGTTCAATTTTTCATTGTGGGGTTCAAAATACCATATGGGAAAAATGACCCCGGGGTCAAAATACCATGCGGTATAATGATCCCGGGGTCGATTTTCCATATGGTATTTTGACCCTTGGTTCACTTTTCAGGGGGTTCAAAATACCATATGACACCGGTCGGAAAGAACATACAAGAAAGTAGTACATATTTTAAACAAAATAGTTCCTACGCATAGCTGTATCTTTGTCAATAGGTGAAATATTTGGGTAGTTTTGGTATCAAAAGAAAGTTTAGGGACTTGAGATCACTGTAGAACCCTTGTTGAAAGTTTCTTTTGAATAATAAAGAGGTATATTTCATAATAGGAGGGCACATTTGCCCTGTTGTTCAGATCAGAAGTACACGTTTTTTGTACTATCAAACTTCCGAGAACCAGTACGATCTAATGTGCAATTAAAGGTATGTTGAATTTTTCAGCACAAGTCAGGATATGGAATAGTTTTGACATGAAATGACTGCCACTTTATTTGAACTTAAGACAAAGTAGTTATTAATGCTTGAAATTGCAGAATTTAACATAGAAAGCAATGGGGCTATGAATTAGTGGTTTTATACCTTTTAACAATAAATTACAAAACAAATACTAATCCTTTAATATTTAAATATTCTTTTGCATGTTCAAATCTAATCGGGACTGCACATTAACAAGTTATTTCCTTGGAGGAATACATGTATGTAACTTTAGCATCTGTGTCTGTCTTTGCTGTAATTTACCAAACATTTCCTGCGGGACAACACATCCAACGTGTAACAAGTTGCGCAGTATAATTTTACGCTGTAATTTGATATAACATTAGATATAATGCACAATTAACACGTTTAAAATTCAAATGGAAATTCAAATTCAGTACTTTTTTTAATACGGAAATAGTCGATAAAGTACTTCAATGAGCTGAGTAATAATTATCCTGGTTCCCGGTACTACGTTCCAGGTATTAGCTAATAGCCATACACTGTCACGATATTGGTATATGTGTAACATACTGAATATTGCGATCGGGAACCAGTCTACGTATTAATACAAATCAACTGGTTTAAGCTGGGTGAATAATAACACTGTTTTTAGTCTGCTAATAGTTTACGAAATATGAATCTTACATGATATCGTTAGAATGATTAATTGATGTTTGCCTAACGGCCAGTGGCAAATATTTCATTCATTTTATGAACTAGAACAAAATAACAATATATTCAATGGGTAGGTCCTGTAATAGAGGCCTTCCGAGATGAAAGTTGGCGAAATTTGAACTGCCACTGGAAAATGAGGGTATATTGGATAAGGATATAAATTATGTCTTGCAACAGCAAACTACAGACCCCTCGAAGAATTGTCGCAAGGGTTGTTAACGTGTAGAGAGCGTGGTGCTCTCTTTACACGTTTCATAGGATGTAACGTCTCCATTTCTACCATACGTGACTGTGTATGTATACATCCTGTATCACCAAACGGGCGCCCCACTTTGGCAAGGGTTATACTGTCAGTCAGGTGAAGACTAAAATGACAATATTTCTATTCCCTGGTCACCCTTGGAGAGTCGTCAGAATGACTTTAGTATGACAAGGGAAGACAGTATATACTAAATTATAAATTTTAATAGTTAAAATGTTTGCTATAAACTGTTTTGAAGTAAACAAAAATTCATATAAGGTCAACTTTCCCTTTGGGAGTTGGAACCTCAGTTGCAGATAAGACTTTTAATTTTGTTACACTATCATAATGTCTTCGAAAGACTGAACTGGAGAAAGCTACTGTTTGTAATTAATTAATTTATACAGATTAAAAAAATCTTACAAACATTTCGACATCGTTGGCTGTACAGAAGGGGTTGGGATACCAAAGGGGGAATCAAATTTTAGATTAATAAGTTAAAAAGAGACGCACAAAATCATGGCAAAAAAACGAAAATCGAAGAAAAGACGAAGCATTAATCAAAAGAATGGACAACACAAACCCCACAAACAACTGGGGTGATACCAGGTTCTCTGGAAGGTTATACAAACCCTGCTTAACATGTGGCGCCTGTCTTGTTGCTAATCACAAAAAACAAATTCGGTGTCAAGGCTAATTCTTCAAAAAGGCGCTAAACATGCCGTTATTACTTAATTTAAGTATCGTTAATCAGTCTCCAAAGTTAAAGGTAACTCAGTACCCTGTGCTATAGCATTAATTGGAATGACATAAAAATGAAACGTTCTGTTTGTCGATTTTCATTAAAATAACACTTTTACACGGCCCATGCAATTTAGAGAGAGAGAGTTCTGACGACTTGTACCAAGTCAGGTTATCTAATTTTAGCGTTGTTGTTGTTCTTCATCTTCCAGTAAGCGGCCACTGTCAACTGGTTGACTATCTGCCACATTTTTGGAGTGTGCGTATGTAAAGTTTTTGAAATTTAATAACGAAAACATTTCCTTTTTGTTTGTATGTTTTTTTTGGAGGATTTGGTTATGCGTCCATGATGCGGTCTGTTGTTTTGTGCGGTGGCTGTTTTTTTTATATGAGAAATGGTTTTCTAATAACTAAAATCCCACCCTACAGATCAAGTTAATAGAAAGCTTTTTATTTTTATTTTTTTTTTAATTTCAAGAATAGCTTTTGATCAGCCCTGAAAAGGATCAATTTGACACCGCGATAATTTGACTTACATTGTCCTTACTTGTATTTCAAATGCTTAAATATACTTTGCACACTATGGATATATTTCTTCTGGAACCAAACCGGAAGAGTTCTCATTCATCATTTATTTTCAATTTTGTATTGAAGTTACGGCACTAACCCGTTACAAACCTGTACTTTGTAGTCAATCGAGACAGAAATACACTTTTTCAGTTCTAAACAGTACTTTGCCATTACCTAGTATGTAAAAATAATGAGATGTGGTATGATTACTCAT